TTAAAAAAAACACGTAAAAAAGTTACGGAGTGCAAGATTGAGAAGTTCTCTCAGTCCGTCTCTTTCGGTAAAGCTCTATATAAGCATGACACCTGTAGCATTAGCACCACAACCTAAGTATCAACATCAACATCACATAAACTACAAAATTCAAATTCCAACTTTCATACCTTTTGATTAGATTCTGGTCACTCAAAACGGATCCATATGCCCATGGAAGCACTCAACAGCCCAGCGCTCTCAACAGTTACTCATTGTTTCGTCATCCAAGCCGTCCATCGGGGTGTTGGTCATGCCGAACTGAATAAATTTTAGGGCACATGCCCCACATTTAGCACTACAATAGGAAAGCATTAGAATAAACTTATAAAACAATTGTATTATGTAAGTTAGTTTTATACAAAATTTACCTTGACTCATTTATTGGGATGGTAGAGCGCTTAAGTGGCCACTTTCCAGTTAGTACTTGATCACCGAAGTGCCCAAACATCCCGTTGTCACGCAACAGCCGCGAGAACAACCTGGACAGTGGCCCTAACTCGATCTCCAATTGCTTGTCTCGACAAATAGTTGGGTTGTAGTCAAGGATCTTCAGCAACCCCTCCTCTAGATGTGCGACAACTGCTATCCAGTGCATATCTCTGACGTTGATGATGCAGTAGACTCTTTTAACCATTGCCCAATCGTGGCCATATTTGGGTCTTTCCCCCCGTACATACTGCATAATCCTATCATCAAACTTAAATTCATCAAGGATGCAGTCCAACTGTTCAAGGCTTAATCTTTTTCGCTTCGCTCCTTTTGCTGCACCTCTACCAATGACATTTTTAATTAAATTGCGATATGTCGAAACAAGTGTTTGACCAAATGTCACATCGGTGATGGCACAGTCGGGATATAATAGATCACCATTATTGGTCTATCGTAGCCTCATCAGTGCCAATACCTCATCGATGTGCTGCATCAAATAAAGACAACATGATAAGTATGGAAAACATAAGGAAAATTAAGCGAAAGTAACTCACCGAGTCCTCAAGCCACCTGCCCATCGTCAACAACTGTTCAAACCATTCCCAATGATAATCCCCTGTCTTACACTTTATATGGGCATCACTTCCTGATTCATTATAATAGGCATATAAGAGTTTTTTCTTTTCCTCCTCTATTGGTCTATACAAATCGACCTTTGAGTCCATTTTCACTTGCCCACTTCCTCCCCCTTCTTCCATTTGTACATCCCTGCTTCCTTCGCCTCCCACCTCACCCTCCTCCATTATCACTGCGCACTTCCTCCACCAACCTCCTTAACCTCCTCCATTTTTGCTTCTTCCTCCATTTGTTTCTTAATTTTCCTTTTCTTTACATGTGTCACTACCATGTAAGGCGATTTGACAAACTTGCTCTTTCAAATCTCTCTTTTTAGCCCAGGTTGCACTTCAACCGCATTTAATACTCCACCAACTTCCTCCTTCACTATACCAACTTTCTCTGCCACCTTATCCACTTTCTCCTCCACCTTTTTCATCCGCTCTTCCGTCTTGTCAAACCTATCATTAATGGCTGTTGTAAAACTCTCAAACAGGCTGTTTATGAGGTCAACCACCTCATTCTCCCGACGTCGATGTCTCAGCAAAGCGGTACTTGTTGTACCGGTTTGTTGAGGCATACGAACCTCTTCCTCCCTCTTCTTCTTCTCCTCCTCCCTCCTGCCGATTAGAGCTTCATCATCATCGGCATCAACTATGTTGTCAAGTAGTGACCCTGCAACTGACGTCACATACGTGACCCCTACTAGGTTCCGTATCAAACGATCTAACCGTTCATCCCTTTCATCCTCTAGTGCTTCGAAAGATGTGACATACTCATTTTTCGCTTCATCCCCAATAGCGGTGAGAAAGGGACGGATGACTCCCTGTAATAAGAAACAAAATCAATTAGATTAAAGTGACATTTTAAAGCAACTTTATTCCAAAGCTTAATCCTTTAATCTTACCCAACTGCTTCAATCTCAATGTCTATTTGGTCATAATCCCAATAGGTACACTTCTTGACATGCCACCGCAACATCGTAGGAAATTGCTATTGGACATCCGAACCGTTCCTCCTCCCCCTCGCCTTAGTGAAGATAGGGATGATCTCATACATCCAAGTCTACATTATAAAAAAATAGTCCATATCATAATTCAAACACATATATTACAAAAAATATAACAAAAAGCTATTAATATTTACCTGTATTGCCCATGGGAAGCTGAACAAATTGTACGTGCTTGGTTTATCCTTCCTGACCCATTAGGACTACTTTAACGCCATGTCTTTCGCTTGTAGGGAGCGCATGGTTCACTCAAATGATACCCATCCCCACAGATAAGAATTAAAGAAGTCCAAGTCGCTTGCAAACAACAACCAATCCATCTCAACAACTTTTGTTAAGTCACCAGCCAATAGGATTGAATGTAAGAACAATACCAAGCACACTTTTAACTTCTCTCAATCATTAAACCGAACTGTTTCTATCTTCTGCTCTAAAACGCATCCTGTAATAGATGCTTCACCTTGCAAAACCTTGTTGGCAAACCTTATGGCTACCAGACTCTTCCTTATTGCGTTTGCCTCTATCTCATCTGGTAATTTCCCACATCCTAAGCCTGTCACCAAGGCATATTCCTTCATCCCAAAACATAGTGGATTTCTATCCACCACAAACCACATTTCTTGCTTTTTTTTTTGCATTTTACTGAGTGCAGCAACATATAATGCACTCCCTATCCTTAGAATGTCTTTTTCCAATTTGTTCCGATTCTTAAAAACTGACTGAAACAAGTTTCTGTGAAACATCTTTCGCCATTCCTCAATCCACCTAAAATCTCCTTTATTCTATCAAAAACATCCCAACTCGACCTGATCGTCACCCTTACAGGGAAGTACGGTACATTATCGCTTACAATCTCCAACCCATAGTCTCTACTGTTTATGGTCTGTACAATCGATATAAACAAAATGTCAGCAACAAAAATAAACCAAAACAACTAATAAACAAAATATCAGCAACAAAAAATTACCTTTGTGGTCGCTTAAGAGATTTCAGATCGCTTAAGAGATCTTGATTCTGCCTCGTGCAAGATCTCTTAAGCGATCTGAAATCTCTTAAGCCACCAAGAGTAAACTGAAAGAATCACTTAAGCAATACAAAAGATCGCTTAAGCGATCTTACATCTAGGCAGATGATTCTGCCTCAGACAAGATTGCTTAAGCGATCTGAAATCGCTTAAGTGACCAAGAGTAAACTGAATCAATTGCTTAAGCGATAAAAAGGATCGCTTAAGTGATCTTAGATCTGGGCAGATGATTCTGCCTTGGAAAAGATCGCTTAAGCGATCTGGAATTGTTTAAGCGACCAAGAGTAAAGATGAATCGCTTAAGCAATACAAAAGAATCTTAGATCTGGGCAGATGTTGATTTGCCTCGGACAAGATCGCTTAAGCGATCTGGAATCGCTTAAGCGACCATGAGTAAAAGAGATTAATTGCTTAAGCGATACAAATGATCGCTTAAGTGACAGTACAGAGCAATACTCCCAAAACAAATACGTACCCTTTCTTCGCCGGCCTCCTCTTCGCCTGCATTCTTGCCGGCCTCCTCCTCGTCGCCTGAATTCTCGGCGGCCTCCTGGCTTGAATTCTCGCTTGCCTCCTCCTCTTCAGAACCGTTTTGCGATTCTTCTCTCTATTGTTGTGCCGCCGTCTTCTCCTGTGCCTGTGGACCACTTTCACTGATCGTAGAATTCTTATGAAGGTAAATTGCTGAGTGATATATTGCTTTTAATGTCATAGAATTCTTATGGTTGCTTTGATTATGTAAAGTTGGAATCCCCATTTGGGTTCTAGAGGTCTATTCACGAAGGCTGTCTATCATAGACGTTGAACATATCTTTCATGACATTCTCTATTAGATTTTACCTACTTCGTATAATGCTTTTTGGCTGAAGTTATGTGATGAAAGTGGGTAGGTGGTGAATTTCGCTTATTGCTTCTAGTCATTTATTTGGCATGTGATGAAAGCCTCAATCAAGCTATTTTGTATGCAATTCTGGATTGTTTCAGGCAACTCAAAAATTCAGTGAAGATAAGGTGAAGCAATGCGTTGACGCAAAATTAAATGGAGATTACCCTCCTAAGGCAGTTGCAGAGGTACTGAAGATGGTAACTTTGGCTGAAAATAATACATCAAACTCAAGGTTTCTTGGTGGAAGAGCAAAAGATTATGAAGAAGGTTTTGAAGATCCAAAGAGCAAAGGAAAAACAAACTTGAGGGAGCTAGAAAGCGGGAGGGTGAAAGCAAAACTTGGATTTTAAGAAATGAATGAGAAACTGGAAAAGTTGTTTTCTTTGTATTGAATTCCCTGTTCTTATTGGGTTTGAATTGACAAAATTTCTTATATATATATATGTGCACTTAATTTTATTTGGGTTTAAATTGACAAAATTTAAATATAAATGTCAGTTTCAAATTTCAATGTCAGTTTAATTGTGACAACTATAAGGATAAACTAGTAATTTTAAAATCTAATAGATTTTCATTGATTTAAAACATTATTTTTAATAAAAAATTGGAGGGACAAATTTGATATATAGTTAAGGACATATTAATAATTTCATATTTAAAGAGGGGTATATTGGTAATTGATGTTATTGACATGACATAAAATAATATTAAAATTATTAAGTCAAATAATAAATGGTGTTTTTCGTATTTATAGTCAAATAGTAATAGAATTTCCTAACAATTCACAACGTTGGTAAGAAAGTGTCATTTTGTCAAACCTTCGGGTGCGAAACATATTGACGCTCATTTTGAATTTTTCTATCAATTTTAATTAAGATAAAAAAGTAAATAAAAATTAAAAAATATATAAAGAGGAAAGACGAATGTTTAGCAAACCCTACCTGAAAAAGACTAAGCCAGTTTGAGCCCAGATAATCTACAAGGCACAAACGGCGCTACTGAAATGGTGCTCAAAAGCTTGATTCGTCGTTTTTCTTCTTCTCCTTCTTCATTCACAAAACCAGGTCAAGTGACTACAACCATACCACAAGATTTAGTACTTAAAGTAACCCAGCTTGAGAAATTCCTCCAAAATGATTGTAAAGAAGGTAATGTCACTCTTGATGAAGCACGATATTTCTTTGAATACATGATTCATTTGCAACCAAAACCACCAATTTCATCATTCAACCAGTTGTTTGGAGCACTGGCTAAGAAAAAGTTTTATGAAGATGTTATTTTGCTTTACAAGCGAGTGGGTTCGATGGGGTTGTTGCCAGATCTTTATACTTTGAATATTTTGATCAATTGCTTTTGTAATGTGGGTCGAGTTTGTGATGGTTTTGTTGTTTTGGGGAGGATTTTGAGGCGGGGTTTTAACCCAGATGCTGTGACTTTTAATTCTTTGATTAAAGGTTTGTGTTTAGAGAATAGGGGTACGGAGGCTATGGAGTTTCTGAAGAAAACGGTTGTGTTTGGGGTTAGGCCTAACGTGATTACATATGGGACCTTGATTAACGGGTTGTGTAGAACGGGTAATACCAGCATTGCATTTAGGATACACGAAGAGATGATGGATCAAGGTTTTCAGCCTAATGTGGTGACGTTTAGTACAATGATAAATGGGCTTTGCAAGGAGGGGAAGATGGAGGAAGCTAATGGATTGTTAGAATTGATGAGTCAAAGAGGTTTGCAGCCTAATGTGTTGACGTATAATACAATGATAAGTGGGCTTTGCAAGGAGGGGAAGATGGAGGAAGCTAATGGATTGTTAGAATTGATGATTCAGAGAGGTTTGCAGCCTGATGTGGTGACGTTTACTACAATGATAAGTGGACTTTGCAAGGAGGGGAAGATGGAGGAGGCTAATGGATTGTTAGAATTGATGATTCAAAGAGGTTTGCAGCCTGATGTGGTGACGTTTACTACAATGATAAGTGGGCTTTTCAAGGAGGGAAAGATAGAAGAAGCTAATGGGTATTTGGGATTAATGATTCAAAGGGGTTTGCAACCAGACATAGTTACTTATAACACTTTGATTGATGGTTATTGTTTGCTGCATAGATCTAATGATGCCAAGGAGCTGCTAATCTCTATGGAGAATAAGGGTTGTAAGCCTGATGGTTTTGTTGTTTTTGGGAGGATTTTGAGGCTGGGTTTAAGACCAGATGTTGTGACTTTTATTTCTTTGATTAAAGGTTTGTGTTTAGACAATAGGAGTTTGGAGGCTACGGAGTTTTTCAAGAAAATGGCTGTGTTTGGGGTTAGGCCTAACGTGATTACGTTTGAGATTTTGATTAACGGGTTGTGTCGGTCTGGGAACACGAGTGTTGCACTTAGATTGCATGAAGAAATGGTTGTTGGTAATGGTGAAGGGGATGTTATTTGTAAACCAGCTATTGTTTCTTATGGTAGTATTATCGACGGTCTTTGTAAAGATGGGTTGGTAGATAAGGCAAAAAAATTGTTTTTGGAAATGAAGGGTAAGGGAATTAAGCCAGATGTGGTTGTTTATACCTCTCTAATTTATGGTTCGTGTTTTCTGAGAAATTTGGAGGAGGCTAAAGGCTTGTTTGTTGAGATGGCGGATCAAGGTTTGCACCCTAACTTACTGATGTATAATACAATGATAAGTGGGTTTTGCAAGGAGGGGAAGATAGAGGAGGCTAATTGGTTGTTGGAATTGATGATCCAAAGAGGTTTGGAAATTAGAGAATGCTATGAGTCTTTACAATGAAATGATTAGAAAGGGAATTCAACAAACAGTCTTTTTCTATCAAATAAAGTTGGAGATGCACTGAATCTATTTGATGAGATGAAAGTTTATAATGTAGCACCTGATTCGGTTACATATAATAATTTGGTAGACGGGCTATGCAGGAATGGCTATGTTCAGGAGGCAGCTAAATTGTTTTGTACTTTCAAATAAAATGAAGGTTTAATATTTGTATTTAAATCTTTGACAGCCTCATTTATGGTTATGGGTTGTGTAAAAAATAAAAATGGAAGGATTGAAAGTTTAATATTTGCACTTGACTATGAAAACTATGTTGTATGTGGGCATGCTGGAATCATTTGTTTATAAGAAGAATAAAATTATTCACTCTGCTTGGCCTCATTCATTGACACTGCCGAATCTGTTCTCTCTTAACACAGGTACCTCGGGTAAGTGTCGATTTGTGAATCTTTTTTGACACCCTATGATCTGGTCTTCTGCTCTTCAATTTTATGAGTTCCCATTATCTTTATATGTAGAGTTCTTCAATCATAAGTGTCCATGTCTGTGATGATTATTTATGATTTTTTTGTTACTTAAACTTCAAGTGACATCTGATTTCTGATTCCTCTAATTATTATAAATTCAGGATTTTCTGACAGACTGCAAGAGGCAAACAAAACATTTTGACAGCTTCTTTTACAATATCTGTCATTTGATGTTTAATCTGAAGAAAATTTTAAGATAATCGTTGGGGAAATAGACATTTTTGTTTCATTTAAATGCCCCTTTAGGAAAGGTTTCACTCAAATTTTTTAGATATATTTAGATATTTTATCTTTAATAATTAATAAATTGCTTAATTTTTTTAATTAACACTTTCAGAAGTTTGAAGTTTCTAAGAAACTGGCAAACACAATAGAGCCTGTTGAAAAATTTGTTAATATGTGAAATAATCTCTTGAATGGGTCGATTTTCAACTCATTAAAAAAAAAAAAAAAATTAGTTAAGTTCTTGTATCAAAAGTTTTATCAATCTTCGAGTGTTGATACTATGATTAATAGATGATTGACAATGTTATTAGCAGTTTTGACAATCGAATATCAATCTTCGATTGCTGATACTATGATTAATAGATGGTCAATATATAAATATTCCTTAACAAAGAATTTCAAGAATTAGTTAAAATGCTGTGGGACATACTTGGTTGAAGTCAACTCAAAATATAATTGAAATGTATCACGAAAACCCTATATGAACATTTTTATGGTTTATTTCATTCACCTTTGGTGTGGTCGATTAAATATTAAACACACACGGTAATTAGACAATATGAATTATCCCTAAAAGTATTAAGAACCCCTGCGATTATTAAAAATCCAAACACGCGAAATTATTTTTTCACTATTCGACACAAACCGTTACCAGATCTATAATTTCGTATAGTATAATGTCATACAACCCAATGACATAACAAAAAGTTTTTGATCAGCAGTTGAAGAGGTATTGAAGAGCCTCACAAAATGTAAATAATGATGTTGCGTTCTAGATTGGGCCTGGTCCCTCCTCCATGGGCCCAATCTAGGGACCAGTCCCTCCTCCATGGGCCTAGTCCGGGTTTGGGACTAGGCCTCCTAGGATTGGTTTTTTGGGCNAAAAACAGAAAAGTGACAGGAGAAGAAGACGAAAAAGAAAAGGAAAAGTGGAGAAGGAGAAGAAGAGAAGAAGACGAAAAAGAAAGAGAAATTGGTGAAGGAGAGGAAGAGAAGAAGACGAAAATGTGAAGAATAATTGAAAAAAGAAAGAGAAAGCAGTGAAAGGAGAAAGAAGACGAAGAAAGATAAAAAAGTTGGTGAAGGAGAGGAAGAGAAGAAGACGAAAATGCGAAGAAAAACTGAAAAAAGACAGAGAAAGAAGTAAAAGGAGAAAGAAGAAGAAGAAAGAAAATAGTGAAAGGAAAAAAAAGTATTTGCGTGAGAACCAAACCCAAGAAAATGCGCAGAGTAGCAGACTGGAGGTCTGCGTAGCTAATACCAAGAAAAAGGGGGGGAAAAAATAAGGGATTTTTTTATGTTTTTATTTTTTTCAAAACCGGTTCGGTTAACCGGTTTAATATTATCCTTAAACCGTTAACCGAACCGAAAATTCGGTTTAATTATTTTTGAAAACCGAACCGATTGATTTGAAAAACCGGTTTTTCGGTTCGGTTCGGTTTTTTTTTTCCAGCCCTACCTAAAAGTATTAAGAACCCTTGATATTATTAAAAATCCAAACAAGCGAAATTATTTTTTCACTATTTGACACAGACAGTTACCAGATCTCTAATTTCCTATAATATAATGTTATACAACCCAATGGCATAACAAAAAGTTTTTGATCAGCAGTTGAAGAGGTATTGAAGAGCCTCACAAAATGTAAATAATGATGTTGCGTTCTATTTATTAATGTACAATAATAAAGAAAACATTTTGCTGCAAAAATGTTACATGACGATTGTGCTTTCTGTTTTCTTTGTTTTTGGAAAACAAAAGAATCTAGAAATGAAATCTTGAAAGATTGTTCAATTACTATGATCTGAAAGGATGTGCAAAGCCACCAATTCTTGTTGATATCAATGTAATTTTCACTCAGTTTGTAAACTTAGCGACTTCTATTGCAAATGCTAGTTGGATATCTATTGGTTCCATGGCCTAAGTCTGACAAATCTGCTCCTGCAACCACAAAATTCGCTGAAGAAATTAGAAATATTACATATTGTGATAAAGTGTCTTTTATCGCCGGTTAGTTCCATTTAAGCTTGGTGATTTTTTTTCCCTTCTATCAACCTAGATTGGGCCTGGTCCCTCCTCCATGGGCCCAATCTAGGGACTAGTCCCTCCTCCATGGGCCTGGTCTGGGTTTGGGACTAGGCCTCCTAGGATTGGTTTTTTGGGCCAGTTTTTTAGGATCGGTCCCAAATGCCCAGGTCTACTCTTGCCTCGTGTCCGTTTACGATTATAACGGTATATAAAGTAAGAGAAAGATAGTTGATGCCAATATTCAGGCACGATTTCCTTCACAAATTCTTGTGTGCATTGGGCATACCAGTGGACATGTCTTGCCTTAAAAGATAACAACTTTCTTACAAATTTTGGTACTCCTAGAACCTTTGAAATATATCCCTATACCCCATCAATTGATAACAAAAGCCTAATAATAAACAAACGTGTAAATCATGTAATCAAAATGAGGATAGGATAAAGATGGAGAAGAAAAGAGTACATTTAGACTCTGCTCATCACTGACACTAAAAGAAAAATTGGCCTAACTTATCATCTATATCAAAGGGTGACAAGGGATCTGGTGTATGGAGATGGAGTGTGAAACATCTTTCCTGGTAATTGAAGTCAACATTGTCTTTAACTAAAGCAAAAAGGGAAAACGTATAAACAACTATTGCCATTACCCTTCGGAACTTCACTGCTGGAGGAGTTATTTGAGACGTGCTCAGTAAAAATCTCATCCTCAAGAGAAAGTGCCCTTGGTTTTCTTGAAACACCACCTTTGACACCTTATGGGAACTTGTTAATGTTACGATTCGTTTCAGCAGGTTTTGCAGCTGGTTTTGTTTCACCCTTTGGAGACCATCTTTTCTCTTCATACCTGTAAAATCCATAGTATAATTAGTAGTAGATGATATTAACCAATCGTGTCCTCAAGTTTATTTGATAAATCATAAGCTTCAGTTGATAATTTGGTGCGGATAAATTTCTCAATTCTACTTCTGTCAAAATTTGGTGGTAGTTTTGCCTCCCAGAACTTGTTCGACTTCTCATTACCTATAGGTATGGAAGAAATAAGCAAATAAAAACTCTTATTAATATGGGAAAATGTAATCAATGGCCAACAAAATTAGATTATTTGTAAAACAGGAAAATCAAAAAAGATAAAACAATCACGAGTACCAAATCATCAATAAACTTATTCTAATACAAAGCAGTTTCTTTAGCCAGAATATTTAACAGAAACAACAATAACTATCATCTTGTTGTAACAAGATATGCTTAGTGGATCCCCATATTACTATATTAGTCAGTCCAACCATGGATTCTTGATGGTCTAGGGGGATGCTCATTTGGTTCGATGCAATAATCCATAGAAACATAAACTTGCATTGAATCAAAGGAATTTATCATGTTGTGTCCTACATGGGGTGCTTTAACTCACATTAAACCGTTTGGTTTCTTACACTGCATACAAGTTGGGATGGCAACAGGGCGGGGCAAGGCTAGATGTCCCATTCCCCGTCCATGTCCTATCCCCACAACAGGGATGATGGGGAATTCCAGTCGCTGACAAGGGGAAAAATCCCCAAATTGTGGGGATTTCCCCCCACCTCATTCCCCGCACAAACTAAAGACATCAGGCCCTGTACCAATAGCAAACATGCAGCAAAGTGGCTGAATTTCCAGGAAAAGAAACTGCCAAGACCCACCAATGCTACATAACACCGAACATGCTGCAAGAATCTCCCAGACCTCCACCAAATGCAGTAGATAAGCTGCAACTCTGGAGAAACCTTCGTCCCTCCAAAACTTCCTTGCAAACAAAAAAGTGCAAAAATCTGCTGTAGCAATTCCAACAGAAAAAGGACTGTAGAAACAGCAAACACAAACAGCCAACCCAGAACAACATGCAACATCCCCAGGCAAGCACAAAAAATTGCAAACTGCTGCTGCTGCAAACTCCCTGGATCTACAAACACTGCAGTAATCTAGCTGCACCTCCGAACAAGGCCACCACTTACTAAAAACACTAGTACACAGTTTCAATCAAATGCACACACCTACAAACAACTGTCTAGTAATCCCAAATAAGTCGAAATAAAATCACACATTCAATATCTCACAAATTATACATGGTGTACAACACTATTACACAGTTTCAAATCAGTTGCCCACGTCTACCCTCAACTGTCTAAATAATCCCAACTAAGCCGACAAAAAATCAGATTTTCAATTACAAAAAATATTTAATGCACCCCAGTTACCAATGTATATATATTCAACCCATTGTAGGAGTTAAATTGAAGAACTGATTGGACTATGTTAAAGGTAAAGGTGGCTCAACCCTAAGACTGAAAAAGGCCACGCTATACAGCTTGAAAACTCTTAACACTCAACTCAAAATCATCCTGAGACCCATTTTGTGAGTTCAATTTTCAATAGATTCAGCTGGGTTGTACGTAATTAAATTAACCTAATTCAAGATTTCTTGAGTTCAATTTAAAAGTGAGCAAATTTGAACAGAGAAAAGTTCGTTCGTTTGAGTTCATAAACAGGAAAATAAATAAATTCAAGAATTGATACAAACCCATTTCATTAAATTTATATCAGATTGTGTTTTAGAATAAAATACGCCCAAACAACAAAACCCAAAACAAAAACACAAAAAGTAAAAAATAAATAAAGGCAGAAAATAGAAGCAAAATCGGAAGATGGTGTAAACCTAAAGAGTATTAGAGTGTTACCTGAGAGAGCACTAACTTTCGAGAAAGGGAAAAAGGGAAGAAGTGAGAGGCAGAGGAAAGAGAAGCTAAGGAGGAGTTTCTGACGTAGCTGTTGGAGATATCGAGATCTGACGAGAAGAAGCTGAAGCAGTAGAGGAGGACGATGAGGAGGAGGAGAATCTGGATCCAGATGAGCGATGGAAGTCAGCCTGGAGGTGAGACACCCATAGCTACAGGTACAAAGCCTTAAACCTCTTGAACTCGAGAGATCTATTGAGTAAGGCACCAAAGAGTTCTAGTTGACGACTCGTGCAACGCCCTATTTGAGGTACGTAACTAATGTTTTTTCTTTTGCTCTTATTTAAGTTGGTTTATTAGTATTATTGTTTGGTTGACCTTTGATTGAGTGATATGTTGAACACTTGCTTTGAAATTGGTTGAAAATAGAAGAGGTTTAGCGTTCCAGGCTTCGCCGGGGCGAAGAAGAATCTTCGTCACGGCGAATAGGTGTTGAAGCCCGCGGGGAAGCTGCTGGACAGTTTCGCCGCAACGACAGAAGCTTCTTCGTCGCGGCGACAGGCTGACCAAAATGTTTGTTAAGTTTTAGATATTTTCTTCCCTAAGGGTATTTTGACCATTCTACCCCTAATTAGCAGGAAAAGTGGGGAGTCAAATGTAAGGAAATTTCTTGGAGCATTTGTTAATATGGGGGTGTGTTTGTAATGAATCAAATGATATAGATGGAATTCCCAAGGAAGAGTAAGGGCAAAATGGGAAGGCTTGTGCATAAAGTGTGTTAAAAAGAATTAAGTCATTGCAAACCCTTCATTCTTCTTCTCCATCGCCACTCTCTTTTCTTACTTCCTCTCAATTTCTCTTTCATTTGTTCAAGGTTTTTAAGAGGGCTTTTGGAGTGATTTGGGGTAGGAAATCACTCTAAGTTATCCTAAGGTAAGGATTCTTGCTTTGGATGTGAAGCTTTGTGAGATTTATGTATATTTGAATATTGAGGTCTTTGGTTCATTTGTTTAAAGAGTAGAGAAAAATCAAGCAAACCAAGAGAAGGGAAGAGCTAGTGAGATCTCTCCATATCAAGGTAAGTAAATCCCAACCCAAGTGGAGATTTAAGAATTTTCTTGATTAGGGTTTTAATAGCAATATGTAGTATGTTGTATACATGTTATATGCTATGTATTGAGTCTCAAATGGAGATTATATTGCTTTGTGGTTGTTCTACATTTCAATTATGAGAAGTGAGATGTGGGTTGGAAAGCTAGTTTGAGTGGAATTGAAGGATATTGAGAAATTTTTCTTGGAAGTGTTATCTTTGGCAGGAATTATGGCTATGTGAGGGAGTTTTCTCCCAATTTGGATGGTTAGAGAAAGACATAGAATTATTATTATAGTAGAGTCTGTTATGCACTTGAGTTGTTTGATGAAGTGCCTAATAGAGGTTTGAGTATTAGTAGTGAACCTTAATTCTTGCAACATGCATGTTGGCATTTCATAAGTGCATTAGTGAAAATGAACCATCCATAGGTATTAATCGTGCATTGAGAAGTGGTTTAAGAAAGACTAGAAAACTTTGTGTATGCAACTACTTTAAGGGTAGAGTGAATGAAAAGAGCTAGAAATGGGTTGATGCTTTGTGATCGTCACCCGGTTAGTTATTAGAAACGGGTTGATGCTTTGTGATCGTCACTCCGGTCAGTTATTAGAAACGGGTTGATGCTTTGTGATGTCACCTGAAAGTCATGAGGGACGGGTAGGTGCTTCGTGATCCCCACTCGGTAGGCACTAAGAGCGGGTTGGTGCTGTGTGAACTCCACCCGACAGTCATGAAGAGTGAGATGGTGCTGTGTGAACACCATCCGGCCGTACCTCCGGTAAGATGAGGCCATAACGTAGTAGAAAACAATAGAAAGAAGTGTGAGGAAAGAATTAAGAGAAATACATACGGGTAGATAGTAAGGGTTTACTTACTGAGCATTATTTTGTGTTCACCACATTTTCATTTGTGGATGCAGGATTTAGGTGATGATGCAGTCGGAGGGGCGTCGGCAAGCGAGGAGCAATAGCTACACTGTTTCCTTGTTTGTCTTGTGCAATGGCATTTTGTAAATAATGTCTTTGTGTATAAAAGCTTATTACATATAAAAAAAAAAAAAAAAAAGTTTTGGGCCCATTTCTATATAATTATGCATGCATTGTACTAGTTTACAGCAGTTGTTACAACTCGACCATCCAATAGGTGTTTACTCTATGAAGTTTGAAGACACCTTCAACAGATGCAATTATCAACACCAAATCAACTCATATTTTCTGTTAGTTAGAGTGCAAGTCATATTACGCCAATAGAACCAGACGCTATTGTATTCTTGGACGGATTGCCGACTCGTCCAAAGAAGCTAGTCTAAGACAAAATGACATTATTTTCATATACAATATAAACCTCTTGCCCCGAGTCTGTTCGCCATCATAATGGTAATTAAAGTACAAAAGGCGTATGATTGTTCTTAGATATGGGAAAAAATATTGCCGCACACTTTTAACAAAATTTAAAGAAATGAAAAAGAGAGGAATAGTGACAAAGAGAAAAATTAAGCTTAACGTATTCACTGCCCCATTTCAATTTTAATTAAGACAAATACCCTACCTTAAAAGACAAGCCAGTTTGAAGTTTGAACCCCAGCTATTCACAAGGCACAAACGGCGCTACTGAAATGGTGCTCAAAAGCTTGATTCGTCGTTTTTCTTCTTCTCCTTCTTCATTCACAAAACCAGGTAAAGTGACTACAACCATACCACAAGATTTAGTACTTAAAGTAACCCAGCTTGAGAAATTCCTCCAAAATGATTGTAAAGAAGGTAATGCCACTCTTGATGAAGCACGATATTTCTTTAGATACATGATTCATATGCAACCCAAACCACCAATTTCATCATTGGAGCACTGGCTAAGAAAAAGTTTTATGAAGATGTTATTTTGCTTTACAAGCGAGCGGATTCAATGGGGTTGTTGCCAGATCTTTTTACTTTGACTATTTTGATTAATTGCTTTTGTAATGTGGGTCGAGTTTGTGATGGTTTTGTTGTTTTTGGGAGGATTTTGAGGTGGGGTTCTAGCCCTAATGTTGTGACTTTTACTTCTGTGATTAAAGGTTTGTGTTTGGAGAATAGGAGTATGGAGGCTGTGGAGTTGTTCAAGCAAATGGTTGTGTTTGGGGTTAGGCCTAACGTGATTACGTATGAGACTTTGATTAATGGGTTGTGTCGAACAAGGAATACGAGTATTGCACTTAGGATACATGAAGAAATGGGGGAGCAAGGTTTCCAACCTAAGGTGGTGATGTGTAATACAATGATAAGTGGGCTTTGCAAGGAGGGGAAGATGGAAGAAGCTAATGGGTATTTCGAATTAATGATTCAAAGGGGTTTGCAGCCTAATGTGGTGGCGTATAATACAATGATAAGTGAGATTTGCAAGGTGGGGAAAATGGAGGAAGCTAATGGCTGGTTAGAATTGATGATTCAAAGAGGTTTGCAGCCTGATGTGCGGATGTATAATACAATCATAAATGGGCTTTGCAAGGAGGGGAAGATGGAAGAAGCTAAGGGGTATTTGGAATTAATGATTCAAAGAGGTTTGCAGCCTAATGTGGTGACGGATAATACAATGATAAGTGGGCTCTGCAATGTGGGGAAGATGGAGGAAGCTAATGGGTTGTTGGAATTGATGAGTCAAAGAGGGTTGGAGCCTAATGTGGTGACATTTACTACAATGATAAATTGGCTTTGCAAGGAGGGGAAGATGGAGGAAGCTAATGGGTTGTTGGAATTGATGAGTCAACGAGGTTTGCCGCCTAATGTGGTCACGTTTAGTATAATGATAAATGGGCTTTGCAAGGAGGGGAAGATAGAGGAAGCTAATGGATTGTTAGAATTGATGAGTCAAAGAGGTTTGCAGCCTAGTGTGGTTACGTATAATACAATGATAAGTGGGCTTTGCAAGGAGGGGAAGATGGAGGAAACTAATGGGTATTTGGAATTAATGATTCAAAGAGGTTTGCAGCCTAATGTTGTGACGTATAATTCAATGATAAGTGGGCTTTGCGAAGAGGGAAAGATGGAGGAAGCTAATGGATTGTTAGAATTGATTATTCAAAGAGGTTTGCAGCCTGATGTGGTGACATTTACTACAATGATAAGTGGGCTTTGCAAGGAGGGGAAGATGGAGGAAGCTAATGGATTGTTAGAATTGATGATTCAAAGAGGTTTGCAGCCTAATGTGGTGACGTTTACTACAATGATAAGTGGGCTTTGCAATGAGGGGAAGATGGAGGAAGCTAATGGATTGTTGGGATTGATGATTCAAAGAGGTTTGCAGCCTAATGTGGTGACGTTTAATACAATGATAAGTGGGCTTTGCAATGAGGGGAAGATGGAGGAAGCTAATGGATTGTTAGAATTAATTATTCAAAGAGGTTTGCAACCAAACATAGTTACTTATACAACTTTGATGGATGGTTATTGCTTGCTGCATAGATCTAATGAAGCAAAGGAGCTGCTAATCTCTATGGAGAGTAACGGTTGTAAGCCTGATGGTTTTGTTGTTTTTGGGAGGATTTTGAGGCGGGGTTTAAGACCAAATGTTGTGACTTTCACTTGTTTGATTAAAGGTTTGTGTTTAGAGAATAGGAGTTTGGAAGCTATGGAGTTGTTCAAGAAAATGGCTGTGTTTGGGGTCAGGCCTGACACTATTACGTATAGGACCTTGATTAAGGGGTTGTGTCAGACAGGGAATACTAGTGTTGCGCTTGGATTGCATGAAGAAATGGGTGCTAGTAATGGTGAAGGGAGTGTTATCTTTAAGCCTGATATTGTTTCTTATGGTAGTATTATAGATGGTCTTTGCAAAGATGGGTTGGTTGATAAGGCAAAAGAATTGGTCTTGGAAATGAAGGGGAGGAGAATTAAGCCAGATGTGGTTGTTTTTAACTCTCTAATTTATGGTTGGTGTTTTGTGGGAAATTTGGAGGAGGCTAAAGGCTTGTTTGTTGAGATGGCGGATCAAGGTTTGCACCCTAACTTACTGATGTATAATACAATGATAAATGGGTTTTGCAAGGAGGGAAAGATAGAGGAGGCTAATTGGTTGTTGAAATTTATGATCCAAAGAGGTTTGGAAATTAGAGAATTCTATGAGTCTTTACAAGGAAATGATTTGAAAGGGAATTAAATAAACAGTGTTTATATATGGCACTTTGTCAACCAGTCTTTTTCTATCAACTAAAGTTGGAGATGCACGGAATCTATTTGATGAGATGAAACTTTACAATGTCACACCTGATTCAGTTACATATAGTATTTTGGTTGATGGGATAAGTAAGAATGGTGTTCTAGAGTTAGCAAAATTGTTTTGCACTTAGAGAACTACAAGTTTAAAATTGCCAGCCTCATTTATGGGTTGTGTAAAAATGGAAGGATCGAAATTGCTTTGGAGATATTTCACAATTTGCCTCAAAAGAGCCTACTGCACTTGACTATAAAAACTATGTTGTATGTGGGCATGCTGGAATCATCTGTTTTTAAGAAGAATGAAATTATTCTCTCTGCTTGGCCTCACTCATTGACACTGCCGAATCTGTTCTCTCTTAGCATAGGTACCCCGGGTAAGAGGCGATTTGTGAATCTTTTTTGACAGCCTATGATCTGATCTTTTGCTCTTCAATTTTATAAGTTCCTATTATCTTTATATATAGAGTCCTTCAATCATAATTGTTGATGTCTTTGATTATTATTTATGATTTTTTTTGTTACTTAAACTTCAAGTGACATCTGATTTCTGATTCCTCTAATTATAAATTCATGATTTTTTCACAGACTGCAAAAGGCAAACAAAACATTTGACAGCTTCTTTTACATTATCTTTCATTCGCTGTTTAATCTAAAAGAAATTTTAAGATAATCTTAGGGGAAATAGACATTTTTGTTTCATTTAAATGCCCCATTAGCAAAGATTTTACTCAAATTCTTTAGATATATTTATATATTTTATATTTAATAATTAATAAATTGCTTAATTTTTCAATTACACTTTCAGAAGTTGGAAGTTTCTAGGAAACCGGCAAACACAATGGAGTCTATTGAAAAATTTGTTAATATGTGAAATGATCTCTTGAATCATTGATTTGGGTCAATTTTCAACTCATAAAAAATAAAAAATAGTTAAGTTCTTGTATCAATAGTTTTATCAATCTTCGAGTGTCGATACTATGATAAATAGATAGTCGTTAATATTATCAATAGTTTTATCAATTTTCGATAGTCAATATGATGATTAATAGATGGTCAATATATAAAACTTCCTTAACATAACTAAGAATTTCAAGAATCAGTTAAATTGCATTGGGACATACTTGGTTGAAGTGTCAACTCAAAATATAATTGAAATGTATCACGAAAACCCTACATGAACATTTTTATGGTTTATTTCATTCACCTTTGGTGTGGTCGGTCAAAATATAATCTTTATCTTTTTTCCTATTTTATGGGCTGCCAGAGAAACTGGAGCTTTTTGTGCAATGAAGGAGGTTGATATCATCCTTGATGACCCTAAATCTGCTGAATGTATAAAGTAGTTGGAGGCTGGAGCAGGTCACTATCTCAGGTCCTTTCTCAAACAATTTAGTTGGTTACAAAATAATACTTACTGAGAAATATGCAGATTTGAATTATTTGTTGTACCTTAGAATATTTTGTCAGAGTTTGAGATTGAAGGTGGCAAAAGCGACAGAAGACTGCCAAAGTATGCCTACAAGAAAGCTTGATAAAGAGGGCAGAAATGAGGGCCAAAGAATATCAAGCAAAGGAGAGAAATTTGTATTTTTGTATTATGTATTCTGTAGTGTACATTGGCCAATTTATACAGTGGCTTTGAATACAATAAGGAAAGGAAATAATACTGTAAAGGAAAAACAATAAACTCTTAATTACAAAATATTACAGTCAATCAAATCAATCACTGCTTGATTCCAACATGGATATCCTTAGCATTTCACATTTCATCACTCCCCATCAAGTTGGTGGTTTGTAGATATCGAAAACCCCAAGCTTGCATAATAAATAAGAATGCTGACGACTACACAAAGGCTTCGTGAATATGTCTGCTGGTTGTTCTGATGTTCGTATATGCCTAGTCTTGATAATCCCTTCCTGAATTTTCTCCCTGACAAAATGACAGTCAATTTCTATGTGTTTAGTTCTTTCATGGAAAACTGGATTTGCCGCGATATCAATAGCAGCTTTGTTATCGCAGTACAAAGTGATTGGTTTTCCTGTTTCTACTCCCAAGTCTTTGACTAATCCAAGAATCCAGACAATCTCACAAGTTGTTTTTGCCATTGCTCTATATTCTACTTCAGCTGAAGAAAGGGATATTGTTGATTGCCTTTTTGTTTTCCATGATATAAGAGATCCTCCAATTTTAATGCAAAATCCTGTAAGAGACTTTCTGGTCATGGGACAAGTACCCTAATCTGAATCGCAGTAAGCTATGATGTCGAAATTCCCATCTCGAGGTAAGAGAAGTCCTAATCCAGGACATCCTTTTAAATATTTAAGCACCTTGATTGCTGCGTCCATATGGGATTGTTTGGGTTGATGCATGAATTGACTTAGTATGTGGACTGCATAACTTATGTTAGGCTTTGTCATGGTAAGATAGATAAGTCTTCCTACGAGTCTATGGTAGGGAGTTGGATCTTGTAACAGAGGGTCATTTTCTGAAGAGGCTGTCTCACGATCATATTGCTGTGATGTGAGTTTGATGTTTTGTTCCACAGGAATGATGTTGGGTTTGCATGCTGATAAACCAGAGTCGGATACAAGTTCTAAAACATATTTCCGTTGACTTAGAGAAATACCTGCTGGGGATCGTGCAATCTTAATGCCCAAGAAATATTTTGGTACCCCAGATCTTTTATACAGAAATGTTTGTTGAGATGTTTTTTTAGGGTGCAAATGCTACTCTCATCGTTGCCAGTGATTAAGATATCATCAACATAAATAATAAGAGCAATGACAGTGGTACCATTGTGCCATGTGAAGAGAGAGTAGTCATGCTTGGATTGAGTGAATCCTATATTAGTTAGAGCCAACTTTGCGTTCCATTGCCGTGATGCTTGCTTCAAACCATATAAGGACTTGCGTAGACGACATACCATATTCTCCCCTTGTCTACGAAGTCCGGGAGGAGGGTCCATATAAATTTCTTCATGAAGATCTCCATGGAGAAAGGCATTATGGACATCCATTTGGTGAAGGGACCAATCACGGAGGGCAGCAATGGACAAGAAGGTCCAAATAGTGACATGCTTGGCTACGGGAGAAAATGTGTCTTGGTAATCAAAACCTTCTCTCTGGGTGAAACCTTTGGCAACGAGACGAGCCTTGTAACGCTCAATGGAGCCATCAGCATGGTGCTTGACCTTGTAAACCCATTTGCAACCAATGGGTTTCCTATGAGAGGGACGAGGAACAAGATCCCAGGTGTGATTCTGAGAGAGGGCACTGAGCTCATTGGCCATGGCCTGACGCCAATGTGAATGGGAAACAACTTCAGAGTAACATGATGGTTCTTGGTGTGCAGAAATCTAACTAATGCAAATCCTGTGGGCAGGGGACAGTCGATCATAAGTAACATAGTTGGAAGTAGGGTAAGTAGTACCTGTGGTAGGCTGAAGGGTAGGACAGACATAGTCATCTGTCCAAACAGGGAGTGACCCTTGTGGAACGTCTCTGAGGGGGGGCAGGAACAATGGGTGTATTGTCCAGGGGAGGTGGATTAGAAATCTGGTTCTCTGGAGGTGAAGCAGGAGAAGGACCAGGAAGCTATGTCTCTGCAGAAACTGGTTGAGAGGTGGACTGGGAGGGTCCCATGTTTGGAATGGGATGCATGGTATAATAGGGGCTGAACAAGTCTGCCGTGGAAGTATCTTCGAAAAGAATGGAAGACTGCTGGAGTCGTCAGAAGGAGACCTGTCTAAAAAAGGAAAAGAATCTTCATGAAAAACCACATCCCTAGAAACCGAGAAGTTCTCTGCGGTGAGATCATATAGGCGATAACCTTTTTGATGCATTGGGTAACCCATAAAAACACAGGGAATAGCCCGAGGAGAAAATTTATCATTCCTCTTTAAATTTGTAGAGTAGCATAGACACCCAAATACTCGGAGATGATCCACTGTAGGTGGTTTACCTAAAAGTACCTCATAAGGTGTCTTACCATCTAGAGTCCGACTCGGCATTCTATTGATCAGGTATGTGACCGTGACCACACATTCGCCCCAAAAGGGTAGTAGGGATATGGGCTTGGTGTTTAAGGGCACGGGCGACCTCTAAAAGATGTCGATGTTTCCATTCAACAATGTCATTCTATTGAGGGGTATAGACACAGGAGCTTTCATGGATAATACCAAGAGAGGAAAAAAATTCCGAACATTGGGTGTTGAAGAAATCCCTAGCATTATCTGTCCGGACTCGTTGAACTGAAACATCAAATTGGGTTTTGACCATAGACAAGAAATGTTTGATATGAGTGAGTGTCTGGGTTTTAGAGTGCATGAGTAAGACCCAGGTTCCCCGAGAGTAATCATCTACAATAGTAAGAAAATATCTAGAGCCATCGCGATTGGCTGTGTGATATGGACCCCATATGTCCATATGAATTAAGGAAAAAATACGGTTTGTGGAAGGCGTGTGTTTGGGGAATTTTGTGCGAGACTGTTTTGCAAGAGGGCAAATGGGACAATTGGGTTGTGGAATAGATGCACTATGACCCAGGCGTTGATGCAAAATAAAAGAAGTTTTATTAATGTTAAAAAACTGTTACAAGACATTGAAGTTTTAGCATTAGGAGCACCTATCCAGTAATAAAGGCCTTGGTGAACTTTACCCAAGCCCATCAGTTTCCCAGTCAAACGGTCTCGAAATTCACATTTGTTAGGAAAAAATTTTAAGAGACAGACATTATCTTGACAAAGTTTCGAAATAGAGATGAGATTGAACCGGAAAGCAGGGACAAACAAGACATTATGTAGAATTAAATGTTTATTTAGACGAACAGTTCCTAATTGGGTAGCTGGTGCATGTGTCCCATTTAGCATGCGGACTGATGTGTGTGGTATGGGAAATGTTTTTGAAAAATGCTTGGGATCGCAAACAATGTGGTCACTGGCC